CCTGAGGGAGGGCCAGGTGCTGCTAAGGTCACACAGGTCCCCTCCACCTCACCACCACCCTGGCCAGAGCCCACTGCCACAGTGGGTGTTCTGGAGATGTTTGCCGGATGAATTAAGGAAGGCATTAGCTTTAGGGGATCCACCTCCTTACACATAAACGCAAAGTGGAAATCCTGTTTGAAGCTTTTCCTGACAACCCAGGCTGTCAGGGGCAAAGGAAGCAGGCCAGTCTTGAAGGAGAGAGGACAAGGTAAAATCAAGGGCCAACAGGGGCAGCTCTTCAACACAGACATGAGAGGCAGGGTTCTAGGGTTCTAGCAGGAAAGGGCCCCTCAGCTGTAGGGCCTGCTGCCTGGCAGCGTTAGATACCACGAGAAGCTTTGCGGTGACCAGGACGCCTACACTTGGCCTACATTTTCCAATGGTCATGCAGAGGTGACATCAGGGCAGGCAAGAGCAGTGTCCTAAGTTGGGCCCGGCTTAAAGCTGTGGGCACAGCTAGCTCCTGCACCCACAGAACTGCCCATGTTCTGTGCAGGCACAGCAGCACAAGCCCAATAGCATTCTTCCTGTTTTCTTCTCTCTCTGCTGTTTCTCCTAGTGTTTTCTTTTTCCAGAGCATATGTGTGTGGTTTGTGTGTGCGCTCGCGAGAGTGTTAGCCTGGTTCCATCTCTTAAGCCTGCTCACAGGAGAGTGGCAGGGGTTCCCAGGGTCCCGGTGAGTTCCCTGCCGAGTAGACAAAGGCCTCGATTGCGATTGCGTGGGCCTCTCCGACTGCACTGGAGCTGTTGCTGCCACCACTTCTCAGCTGTGATGCTAACCAGCCACCCGCCTCATGGGCGCTGATTCAATTAGCCAAGGTGCCCACCTCCTGCAAGAGCTGTTTATAAAATCAGCATGGGCAGCTGGAGACCTTGGGCAGGGTGGGGCTGGAGGAGAGCCAAGGGGGAGGACAGCTAGCTAGGAGGAGGGGCTAGAGGAATACGGGGGCTCTGGGAGGGGGCATCTGATTTTGTGAGGATCAGGGCTGGCTTCCTGGGAAACCTGGCTGCTACCCTCTTTTCCAGGGCAGACCTGATGCGGGCCTGGCAGAGCCCATTAATCTCCGGGCTCCAGCCTGCTCTGCCACACTCCGCTGCGCCTCCTTCCCACCTTGGGGCCCTCTTCTCAGACAAGCCCGGGCTCCCCCGGGCCAGAGGTGGCTGCTGGAGGGTGGGGGGATGGGGGGCGCGGAACCAGCAGGTGGGAGAGCGCTCAGAGGGATCTGCGGAGCAGCTGGTGTCTCAGAATTGCCCTAGACCAGGGTGGGGGTGGAGGTGGGGCGGAGCCAACTTTGTGCTTCCAAGTGTCAGGTCAGAGAGGAGTGCGGTGCGGTGCGGTGTGGTGCGGAGCTGGGGGGGTGGGTATGGGTGGGAGGTGTGCCCGAGGGGGAACACAGCCAGAGGAACCTAGCTCTACCCAGGTAACCGCCAAGGCCCTCTGCGTGGCTTGACTACCTGGGTTCAAATCCTAGCTCTGCCCCCTGCTCGCCACCCATCTTTGGACACCCTCCTTGCGCGTCTGTGCCCATACCTGTCAAATGGAGGTAGCCATGATAACAGAGTAGCGGTAAAGATGAAAGGAGCGACTACACGCCAAACTCCCCGCGTGACCCTGGGCCTAAGAAGGGTCTGTTATCAGGCAGGTTCGCATTTCATCCTCCCAAGGGCTCCCTACGAGGAGGGAGGAGGGGGGGGGGCTTCCAGAGCACTTCTCTGGGGCGAACCTGGGCTTTGTGGGGATGGAAGGGCTTGGCAGTGAGGACAGGTGGGTCTCTGCTAGGAAGAGCGAAAAGGGGGAGTAGAATCCAGGAGCCTGGAAGATAACAGCGCCTGTGGGCTTTCAGCGGCTGGATGGTGACCCCAGCTGGAGCCACTCAGCAGCACCCCCCTATTCTGCCCAGAAACGAGGGAGCTTGCAAAGGAGACTGCTCACAGCATCCACAGCCTGTGGCGGGGGCACAGGGAGCCTTCCTTCTTTT